GCGTGAAACCTGTTTTTCCTCAAATTTTCAGTCGAAGTCTGCTCTCTTCTCAATGTAACAGACTGCAGCTTTAATTAAGAAGCAGATAGTCTGAACAGCAACAACACTGTTATGTAGTCTAAACAGGAAGTGAACACGATACATCTCACTAAAAGCAGCAGTAGCACCCTATAGTGGCAGGGAAGGCAGTCACTCTCCTTCCATACCATGAAATGTGATGACAAACAGGAAAGCAATCTATTTGAGAGCTAAATAAAAGACACCCACAGATGTGCTTCTATTAAATTCTGAGTTTTAGAGTTAACCTACAAAGTCATGACTGCATCATGTCTTTACGTAGACAGACCAAGAGCTTCAAACAACACAGGAGAACGATGGTTAGGTTGTTATTTTGCACTTGACTTGGAACAAGCTTAGAAGAACACAATGTTTCACAGCTTATCACACTTTCATACATTAATTTTTAAACATGTTTCAAATATTGCTTCATACATTTTTAGTGCCTAATCACCTTTATTATAACAGTAATCAGTGCTGGATATTAAAGGTAAATTCCCTAAGAAAAAGTTCTTTCAGGGTTCAGTGGAACATACAGTAATTACTGACCCAATATAGAGTTTAAATTTTTATCAAAACAAACTTTGATCATCCTGACTGTTTGTGGATGGAGAAAAGTTTTTTTTATCCAAATAACATCAGTTTTTTCTTCTTTGACTTGTTTCTCAGACTTAGATCCTGTAACCTCTCAGAGAGAACTTGTGAAGTTCTGTTATCAGTTTTTAGCTCCGACTCCTGCTGTCTGAGAGAGGTTGACCTGGAGAACAACGACCTCCAAGATTCAGGGGAGAAGCTGCGGGATTACCTGAAGAAATCCTCTGCTCCAGAGAAGGCTCTTCTCCCACTGCTGCCAGTGGTCAAAGCTTCCAACAAAGTTCTGTAAGTACTGACAGAATATGGGCTTAGCACTAGGAACAAAAATAGTCACTATAGAAGAAGATGATTCCTTCAAAGTGTAACTGTGTGATTAACTGAACAATATCGTGGTCTGATGGTTCTTAGAGTCTATTATAATCAGTCTTTTTCTTATCTGTTTTCTGTCACTTAGCTTATATTTTGTTTTTAACCCCTTCATGTATTTGCAAACAAATCCAGGTAAAAGGTTGCTCTATAAAAAATGCCTTATTAAATATTGATCATCTACCCATGGATATCTTGTGTATGTCGTTGATGATTTTCATATTTTTTGTGATGGCTCTTATGTTATTGCAATGTCATGCACTTTGATTTGCCTTGCTGCTGAAAGGTGCAGAGCAAATAATGTTTTACTTACTAGAGATTGATGACTAGGTAACAATTACTGTTACATCAGTGGCCTGCTCACATAGACGAGGTGGTGCCAGAGCATCTGCCATTTTTCTTTTAAACAAAAAAGTACCCAGCCAAAATCTATATATTTTTACAGTATATACTGTGTGGCCAAATATCGTAATTCTGTCTTTAAAAGGGTATTTTAGGAGTGTAACACATTGTTTAATTTTTAACCCGCAATAACCTATCCTTTCCCCCCCCACTTACTCACATGATGTGCCCCACTGTGTGCCTCAACTTTTACACTCAAATGAACACACATTAGTGCAGCACTTCAACACCTCTTTGTCCAGTAATTACCTGGTGTCTCCATCACATACTATCTGCCTCAGGTGGTTCAAGGTTTGGTGTCTAGGTCTGAGTCCAGGATTCTGCGAGGAAAGAGCAAAAGCGAGATTAGACACAGGCTTAGGTCTCAGGAACAAGACAAGGTTCTCAGCAAAAGACAAACAGCTTTTCAAAGCAGATTTTAA